ACCCATCCAAGCCCAAAGCCCCAGCTCCATCGGCCCTTGTCGCGCCACACGGAGAGGTTGACAGAACGGGGTTAGGCGGAAGGAAGGAGACTCTACTGTGGCCTCAGGGCTGAGTGCTTAACCCAGATTGTCCCATATCCCTTACTTAAGAAACATACGTTACAACCATCATATTCGGGGGTACTATAATTTACGGCATATGCAGTTTAGGGTTTAGGGTTCTCTATGATTTAGGGCATATGCCTCAGCACTAAGCCTTAGAGTCAGTCTCACACCGCTAGACCTAAACCCTGCAAGACCCGGAAACCGTTGAAACCCTATCCACCCGCAAACCCTAACGTATCAACCTGTGAGAGCCTTGTCGAACTCCCTAAACCCTAGACCCTAAACCCTCATTCATGGACACCAAGTCCAAGTTTTGATTATTCAGACCTCGATAGAACTTCCTGAGCTATTAGGGTAAGTCTCTAAACTAGGTCCCTTTTAGGGTCCTTTTTAAATAAGGGTGCCGTACTATATTGGGGACCTAAAAAGGGACCCTAATTTAGACAACTACTAACTACCCATTAGTTAAGGTCCTATTCGGTGCTCCGGGAATGTTCGTTTGCCATGGGCCTTGCTTGGAGGGTCGGGAGACTTAGTAAGTAGGCAATAAGTAGACTTATAAGTACCCTAAAAGGGACCCTAATTGGGGTTATAGTACTTATAAGTCTATAGAATAACCATTTGCTAAGTCCCCCGACCCTCCAAGTGGCGTCCATCCGACCATCCGAAGCACCAGGCCCAAGCAGGCCCCCGAAACAGGGGGCACCTGCAGCGGGGGTTTCACGAACCCGTACATGTTGAGCCCACAAGCCCAAACCCTAAACCCTAAACCCTAAACCCTAAACCCTAAACCCCTAAGCCCAAGACGTGGCCTCGCCCAGAAACGATCGTCCTCAACCCTCTAGGTGAACTCGCCCTGGCTGTCTGAGCTATATAACAAGACCTAACTGCGGTTTAGGGTTTGGGGCTGAGGGTTTAGGGTTTAGGGGTGAGTCCTATAACCTTGACCTGGACCTTAATGTAAGGGCCTCAATAATTACCAATACCATTTTTGGGGCTCCGGGGTTGAAATTGTGGTATAATGGGCCCCAAAACCCTATTCTAATTTTTCAAGGTCCCTATGTTAAGCCACGTCATTGTCAAGTGCCGCCTGCTGCGTCGCCCTGAGATGGGATGCGGCAGCCCATGGTAGAAGGTGGGGTTTTGGTCGTGGGTTTCCTTTAGAGTTTAGGGTTGAGGGTTTAGGGTTTAGTGTTGAGGGTATGGGTATGACTGAAAGCCCAGAACCCGCGGGATAAATCTCGCAGCCAACCCGCAGATCACCCAAATGTCCATATGATTATGACAGGGTTGTCTAAATTAGAGTCCCCTTTAGGGCCCTTTTTATAAGGGTGCTGTACTATATTGGGGACCTACAAACGGACCCTGGTTTAGAGAACTACCCACATAAAAGTATACTTCACTAGCGTCTAGCAGCAGTGGCAGCAGCTCAGCGGCTTTGCCGTTGTTGTCGAATAGCAGGAAGTTCAACAGGTCAGCAGCAGCCATGGCACCAGCAATCAGAACTTGCACTGGTGACCATGTCGCAGCTTGAAACAGCAACATCATGACCTCAGTAGTAGCACTTGGTCGTGATAGTACTGACAGACCGACCCTAAACCCTAAACCCTAAACCCTAAATCCTAAACCCAACTCAAAGTAACACGGTGCGTAAAGTGACGGAGCTGCTTTGACTGTTGTTGTTAGAATATAGTGGCCTTAATAATTACCTATAGTATGTTTGGAGTTCCTTATCATAATGATAGTATAATATACTCCAAAACCCTATTCTAATTATTCAGGCCCCTACATTATATTTGGGTTTAGGGTTGAAGGGTTTAAGTCCTAAACTCTAGACCCTAAACCTAAACCCTACACAAACCCTTGGCAGCTTGCCCAGAGACTCCAATATCCCTTAATTAAGGAATATACCTTAAATCATACAAGGGATCCTACTATACTTTAAGGTATAATCCTTAGTTAAGGGATAATTCTTATAGTGCCCTTATAGATCCCTTTAAGGAGCCCTTTAAGGAACCCTTTAAGGTATAATCCTTAATTAAGAGATCTTGGAGTCTCTGGGTGTGAGGCTTCTGAGGGTGCCGTGCAGATGATGCCGATGCTGGGCATAGTACTCCTGGCAGCCGCTCTCCTGGGTTTAGGGTTTAGGGTTTAGGGTTTGGGGTTTGGGGTTTTAGGGTTTAAGGTTTGGGGTTTAGGGTTTAGGGAGTTGTTCAGAGTTTGGTTCAGGGTTTAGCGTAAGGGTTAGGGTTTTAAGGTTTAGGGTTTGGCGTTTAGGGTTTAGGGATGAGTCAATGAGGGTTTAGGGTAAGGGCTATAGAGATTGGGGTTTAGGGTTTAGGGGTCCGTTAAGTGTTCCTCTAAAAGGGTCTATAAAGGGTACTACAAGGGTATCATAGGGTCCAGGGTCAAGCGGCTTAGGGTTTAGGGTTTGAAGGCTACGCAAGCCCTGATGAAAAAAGGGGTTCAGGGCTTAAGCGTCCGTGAAGCCCGTTGGGGCCTACGTATAAACAGTGTAGGCAGGGCCATAGTACTCCTGGAGACCACTTATGCAGAAACGACTTTACCAACATTCAGGTTTTAGGACTGACGTAGGGTGGATAGAGATTACGCTTTGTTATGCAGGCGCTTCGTTAGCTCAAAGCGATCGGCGAAACCTCTCGAACCAGAAGTTAAGGGTTTAGGGCTGGATGCGGCAGGTCTTTGGCGTGTGGTTCTAGAGACTCCAGGATCACAGACAGAACTCCCCGTAAACCCTAGGAAGCCTTACTAGGTGGCCCAGTAGTACCCTTTTGCCCTTTTTCTTTTTGGGTTCCTTTATTAAATAAAGCCAAATAGTAGGAAAAAGGGTACCCTTATTATTAAGGTGCTACTGGGGAACCTAGCCTATAAACTCTGATGTCCGTGCCATGGTGTCTCATCATCTTACACGCCCCTCGCCCCCACCTCCTTGTGGGTAACAGCCGGTTCTCTCCAAAGTGTGGGGCGGGCTGAGGCATGCGAGCCCTAAACCCTAAACCCTAAACCCTAAACCCTAAGCCCTAAACCCTAAGCCCTAAACCCCATACGCCCTGCAGGGTTTACGGTCTAGGGATGAGGGCCCCAGTTCAGCCCCTAGCCCCTGAACCCCTGCACCCTAAGCCCTCATCCACGAAATGGGGGTTTCCGAAAATAGGGACCCTAATATAGTACCCTAAACAATAGGATCCCTATTATAAGGACCCCAAAATAAGGTACCCCAAGTTTCTGAAACCCCCAAATCAGTACATCTCTACTTGCTCAGGTTTCGTTCATGTTGGCTGGAACACCCCACGGTCCGGTCTCAACTACGCTACGACCTGCTTAACGTGTTCGGGTTTATGTGTGCGTTTTGACGGTTTACGGTTTAAGGACCCCGTTTATACTTTGGGGCTTGTAAGTTCCTGCCATAATTCTAGGATTAGTTTTTTCTGGGCTAGGTACTGAGCCCCTATTTAAGGGTTCAGGACATGCTTTCAGAATCATAGTCAGCCCAGACCGCCAGCACACAGTGGAGAACCCTAAGCCGCAAAGCCTCAAAAACCCTAAGTTCCTAGAACCCTCTAACCCCAAACTCCAAAACCCTCTAGCCTCTAAGACTCTAAAGCCTTCAAAGAACCCCGAAGGCAGCTCTAACTTATGGCAACCCTTATAGTGACCCTTGGGGGATCCCTTGAACGAGCCCTCAAAGGGAGCACAGAGAGGATCCAGTCCAGAAGCCCTGAACAGAAATAACCCTGCACGCCGACTCAACGATTCATCGCGGTGGCCCAGGGCCGGTTTACGGTTTAGGGCTTAGGGTTTAAACGTTTAGAGTTTAGGGTTGGTGAGCTCCGCGTTCCTGAACAGGTTGTCTCTTGACTTTCCACAACGCACCAGCAACATGACGTGCGACCAGTTTCTCCGCGTTGTTTCGTGGCTTAGGTCCACGGCAGCGGCCGAACTGTGGGGCCTCGCCGCAGCCACGCCGGCGCAGGACCTCGCTCTCCAGATGGCGACTGCCATCGGGCACATGGTGGCAATCTCCGTGTCGAAGGGCAAGCATGAAGTCGTCGAGCAGGGACGGCGGCTCTCTACTCCGTTTGCCGCGCTGTTCTCGCTGATGACGCCTGAGATGGTTCGCCAGGCGGTGCGCATCGCCGTCAAGTCACCGGTGGACCCTCGTGATGCGGCCGAGGCTGCCGTCATGACTCAAGACGAACTCACATTGGCCATCGCCGCCGTCGACGGTATGGCCTGGGCCAGTGTGACCTATCCATTGTCCGAGTTGCAAGAGTCTAGTCTAAACCCTAAGAAACCTCGCTTTTTCGTGTTCCTGATGATTAAGGTTAAGGCTTCGTTTTCAAAAGAAGGCATAATGTCCTGAAGGGCCAGGTTTTGGGGGTCTGAGGTATAAGCTCCAACTCCTGAAGCCCTATCCCCTAAACCCTAAACCCTAAACCCTAAACCCTAAACCCTAAACCCTAAACTAAGGCAGTGACTTCCTGCTCTGCCTCCTCCCTGGCTCTCGGTGTCCTTGCGCCCCTGTCGGAGCTGCCTGGG